GGTTATGAGGTCAGTCCCAGGGACCGAGCCCATGCTGAAAGATTTAATGGAAAGCTTGATAAGTATGTGCATAATGAGGACTAGTTTTGAGTTGTTGTTTTTTAAGTTTAATTTAATAGGTGGGATGATCTAAATGGATCAACAGGTTGTCAAATTTTATGTAGTGTTGTAACTAAAGATAATGATTTTGTTTTAATTATTGATTGTTTCTTCATTCTCTCCTTCCTTCTCATCTAGTCACCAAAAAATATTTGCTAATAGAACCACTGGATAGTAAACTGTGGTTCCCTGTTGTCATTTTTCTAGATTATCCATCACACTAGCTTGTCCTTTCAAAGGGAGGATGAAAAAAAGAAAAACTTCTGAACATCCTTGGCACTGCCGTACATAAGATTACTGAGACCCATTTGAATCATTCAGCTACAATGAAAAGTCTTTAGATAAAGTATTACGTGCAATTCTCGTCCTAGCTCTTTTTAAGAAATAGAGATGTTGGAAAGAGTGAAACCACTAAGAACTAACTCGTACCGACAAAACTTAGCTATTGGGAGAGGTTTATATTTGATTTTGTTTTCTCCATACTTATAATAAAACAATTAGATATTATTTTTGTGGGGGAATGGAAAGGTTGGAAAAGTGAAGATGAATATCAATGATAAGTACAAGCTTCAGAGGCTTCTTTGTTACTTATAAACTTGTTAAATGGTTGGTCTGATAATGTTAATTTTTAAATGTTAATTTAAGTTAATTTTTATTATTCATAAGTCATTAAAATGTGAAAGAAAATCAGTTTGGTTGTTTCCATGCATGTATCATTGACTAGAAATATCTATTTTAATTACATTACTTATGAATATACAAAGCTTTAAATTTTGTTTACTCAGGTTTCAAGTCTCAAGAGCTTAACTTCTTTTTCACAAAATATTTTACTAACTTGATTCATAAACAGGCTTGGTGCAGCTAAAGTAAGTCCAGCTGATTTCTGGGTGGCCAACTGTCTGTTTGAATTCTGATAAAGGAATGAAAAATATGTATAATAATTTTCCTTATACATTATATACAAAAAACTTGCAAGAACCATAAATTACTAAACATTTATCCCAGTTCTCTCTTGATATTTCTACCTTCAATTAATTTTTTTTTAATTTTGCTTACAGATTAATGATAAAACAATCTTTCTACTCCCAACTTATCATCACACAGGTAAAAATAAGTTTACATAAACATTCTAGATATTTAAAAACTTTTTTATTTAACAAGTTTTCAGCCACATTGTAATAATCTATGTCAGGCTTAAGTGATTAAGGGTACAATTCTTAATCAAATTATATATGCAAAATAAGAACACAGTCTTGAAATTCTGCTAGTTGAGAAAACAATGTCAACCCTTAAATTTGTACATTGAAAAGACATTTTGGTTAAAATAAGAAATATTGTTTCACAATACTTTTAAACACAATAATGGTTATAAACATTAACAACCTTAATGTTACAATGTTTAAGATGAAAGTTACTTTGATAATCATTACAAAAATTAACAACCCTAATGTTACAAAACTGAACACAAAACATATTTTAATAATGGTTACAAACAATAATTAAAATGTTGCATCATTTACAATAAATTTTCAGAATATGTGAAATATAACTTATAAATGTTAAGCAATGAAAAGTCTTTACATAACATATGTGCAATTCTCGAATTGGTAGCTGGAATAAGCAAAAACGGTAGTAATTGGAAGTGTTTATTTTCATTAGTCGATTATATGCCTTACAGTAATCAACTTAATCATTTTTCGATTAATTGATTGGATGATACTAAACACTGGACATTTGTTTTTAAACTGCTAATATAAACATAAACTCAAAATTCAAGCTCATTTTTTTACATCTAAAACATTCCATTCTCAGAGTAAAAATCTCTTTATTATTCATACTATAAGACTAAGAGTCTTGAGTGCTCTTTTAGGTCATAACTTATCCAAATAAACTTATAACAATTGTCTAGATGATTTAATTTTCCCCTGGTGACTCTTTCAGAAGTTATCTTTCCAGGCTTAGTGTTTAGTTTACAGAAAAAATAAAATTGGCTTATTTAATAATTAAAAACATGGATTTTATTAATGAAAAAAGCAACTAAAAATTATATGAATACATGCATCCAATAGTTATGTAAAAATCCTAAGAATACAAAATAAAAGTTTGACTCAGGATAACAAAGAAACATGTCACCCATATCTACTTAAGTATATTTGTCCTATCACTTGTTCTTTTAGCTATTTCTTTTCTTGGTAAATAAACCTAAACTATAACAAATATTCTCTTCCTTCATGATACAATAACATTTAGTTTTTCTGTAAGTACATCTGTCTGGATTAGTAGTAAATTGTATGTGTAATACACAAGTCATATGATACAACTTACCCAAGAAGTTTACTTTTGACAATATTCATAATCTTAAGTTTATTTTCTTCATCAAGCATTAAAATGCATAAACTTCTGTACTTAGGCACTATAACAGTGTGTATGAAAGATGGATTTAATGTAAGATAAGTTTTTCATGAGGCATTTACTTTATTTGGTGTTACCTTACTTAAAACTGAAGCTTTTTCTGAAGATTTTAGTTTGTTGTTAAGCACAAAGCTACAAAATGGGTTATTTGTGCTAATGTGCACCACAGGTACTGAGACCAAATTTTTAGCATTATAAGTATTTAGACTTACCACTGAACAACTGGGAGGGGGCTTTTCTGAAGAAAAACTATTTAGATATTGTTAAATTTAGAATAGTTTCAGAATAAACATGAATTTGTTTTGAAATTTAAGAATCATGTTGGAGTTCCACCTATACAAGATAGCTATTCCTAATATTCTAGAAGACTGAATAAGTTGTGAATGAAAATATATATCCAGATTCCTAGTTAAGAAGCAAGGGTTCTTGAGAAATACTTAGTTATATTTTGATCTTCAACAAAGTTTTATTCTGTACTTTCTCTCTGTCCTTCTTACCTCACAGCTGATAGAGCCATTAAATGCTGTGGAAACTACAGGTCTTGCAAGGATCTAAAAGTAAAACATTTCTCATTTAATCATAATTTCATAAACTAACACACATTATTAACTTACCAAATATTATCAAAAAAATATATTATAGCGAGCAAAACAAATTAGCCCTTCAGTTGTTTTATGCAAAATAAATATTAAATTTTCATAAATATAAGAATGTTAAGTAAAAATACATGCTTGAATAATATTTTATAATTTGAAATCCAAAACCAACTGCTATTTTTAAACTGATTTTTAAGTTGTTTTTTTTAATTAAATTCGCTTCCATTTTACATACCAGAGATCTGGCAACCGGACAGGTGTATCTTGCACATGCATACATGACAGCAGTTTGTTCTTGAAAATCTAGTTTTCAATCTGGAAATAAAATCAAAACACTTATATATATCAAATACACTGTCAAAGCATTAAAACTACTTAGGATAATACTAAAAAACTAGAGTCTGTTCCTGACAATTTTAGTGAATGTGAAAAATGATTAATATTTATATAAACAATAACTCATTTGAGGTGTTGTGCGTTTTAAAATAATTCAATTCAAAATCACAAGTTAATCAGAAAATAAATGCCAACTGACATAAAAATATAAAGCTAATTATATATATATATATATATATATATATATATATATATGTGTGTGTGTGTGTGTGTGTGTGTGTGTGTGTGTGTGTGTGT